GTTACAGCAGGAGTCAGGGGGGCTGCAGACAGCTGCCCTGCCTGGCCCCATCCTCCATCTGGCCCCAGCTTCCCAACACTTTAAAAGGAGGGCTGTACTGGACTCTTCCCAGGGGCGCTGGCCCCCAGATCTGCACGTGGGATGACACCAGGCTGTCACTGCCAGCTGGAACCAGCGCATTATTTTGACCTGGCTCCACAGCTTCTGTAGAGATTAGGTGCTTGAAATGAAGTTGACTGCTAGAGCCCAGCCCAATAAGCTATATGGGAAATCATAAGCCTTCTGGCTTTGGAATAAGATCATGCATAGTTTCTACTGTATGTAAATTGAAATAGCTCTGCTACTTAGAAGTGTGTCTATGGAAAATTTGTACTAAAAAACTTATACCAGTTTCCAAAAAAGGTTAAAAAAAATGCATCAATTTTGGATGAACAAAGTTTGCAGGTACCTGTAAGTTTGCCTACATATAAATTACTGTTGGTGTTATTTCAAGGTTGGCATTTCAAATTTGCCCTTCGCTGCCATGTATTCAGGGACAGCAGCGTGTGACAGTACGGGAGGAAGGGGCTACCTGAACCCCTAGATTTATTTTCACTGCTGAGGCAGTGGAAGGGGGACAAACCCAAGGCAAACCTCCCATAATTAGACCCTATACCTAGAAAATCATAGCAAGTTTATAAATTATCCAAATATAGAATCTATTTATTGGGGTGGTCATCTTACATACAGTCATTTTGTATTCAAGAAAATGTGGTTACCTTTGAAACCCAATACAGACATGTGCATGTACATACAAAATGTTTGAACCTAATAACTTCAAATATTGTGTTGCCAGAAAAATCTACCACAAATGTAAATTCATACAAATTTATATCAAGTTCACCAATAGGTTTCACCTGTAAACTGGTTTTCCTGCAATGCATCCAGTACATTTATTACATTACATTTATTAATTCATAGAAAATAGTGACTTAGGTCCACAGACAAATAAGAGAAATAGCTCATTTCAAGATTGCCTCAGCAAGAGGTTTGCAAGACAAAACAACTGTCACAGCCATTATCTAGAAATAACTGCAAAAAACCCATTCTCTTCTTCCAAACTACTATCCAGTTCTGACCTATACAAGTGTTGCTATATTCCTATTCCCTATACCTGGAAATCCTCCCTAGGCCTTTACAATATTTTGTCAAGCTAGAACTTGTAGGCAGACGGCAAGTTGTCACCACCACCAGGTCCTTCCCACATTGCTAAATAGAAGACAATCCTAGCATGAACCAGATTGAGAACTACTGTATGCTATGTGTAAGCACCCTCACAATACCCATACACTTTGAACATTTAGCATTTCCCCACTGCTCTACAAATAACCTTCTAATTTCTTATCAGAAAGTGTTTGCAATACAACTATTACCTAGTTTCATGTACTCCTTCCACTGTCTCCAGTCCTTCCATCCCATGGCTGGTTCTTTCCTCAGGTTGCAGTACTGGGATCTGCTACTAATCCTAACTTCCGTGGTGAAACCATTATTATCAAAACTCCATTTCACAATGCATACGTTATGTGAAATGGATGTATAGTGTAAGCAACATTACATGATGCAATATTCTAGTCTTAATTCTTCCAGGCTGCATCTACACAAGACGCCGACTGTGTGGTCATTATGCCAACATACAGCTTTTTGGT